GTTAATGAGGTTTTCTGTGCTCGTCTTTACCCATAAGATGTTATGGGCTGTTGTTTTGAGTATTTTGTGTATCAGTCTGGTCCGTGTTTAAGCAAATAGGCTTCTTCTGGTTTTTTGTCCTGCATTTCTTCAGGGGCTTTGGCAGTGGTCTGCTGGCAAGACAGAATGAACAGAAAAGCAGATTTTAGCCTGAAATTTTCTGTTGTGCCAGTTAGGAGGTTTGCCTCACCCTAGGACTGGTGTCATGGCCCTGTCGAGGAGTTGTAAGAAAGTTTCCTTGTCTGTTCACAGTTATTCGTACAGTTAAGGTTTCCTCCAGAGCTGGAGCTGAAGACGTGTTGTCTACGTTTTGCAGATAGAAGCAGTTAGCAGGTGCGTGATCACAGCCCCGCACTGCTGTCAGACACAGGGCTTAATGCAGCTTCACTCACGTTGAGTCATTCCCACAGTGTGAAGCAGCAATGGACGCCAGAACCAAAGCCTATCCATCTTGCCCTGCTGGTAGAAACTGTATGGGGGTGTTTAAGGGGAAAAATTTCATGATTAGAATTAAGAATTTTGAAGTCATTATGCATTTGCAAGTATTGTTAGGATTTACAGCTGTTGATGCAACGGGAAAGAAAGAAGCAATTAACTGTGTTCACACTTCGGGGCTTTTTGCTCACAACTTTAACCTTCTGGATGTCGAGGAAAAATGTCAGATTGTGCTGTGTTAACGAGAGAGTTCGAAAAAAAAAAGACCCTACTTCAAGCTAAACCTCTTTCATAATGCTGAAATGACCTGAAGTTGTGCCAAGGGAAGTTTAGATTGGATATTAGGAAAAATTTCTTCACCACAGGGGTTGTGAAGCACTGGAGCAGGCTGCCCAGGGAAGTGGTGGAGTCACCATCTCTGGAGGTATTTAAAAGGCGTGTAGGTGTGGTGCTTCGGGACTTGGTGGACTCGGCGTTGCCACGTGAACAGGAATGGACTTGGATGGACTTGTGTGGACTTGGATGATCTTAAAGGTCTTTTCCAACCTGAATAATTCTGTGATCTCCCCGATAAGCAATGTTCGTGTGTCTGTCTCCTGGGTTTATGCTTCATTTCTCAGTGTAAAGGAACAGAGGGATGTAGTGATTTGAGCAACTGCTTTAAACTTTTCAGCTGTTTGAAATTCAAGTCTTGCAAGCGAAGTGTTTCTCCTGCCTAAATGGTCTGAACAGCCCCTGTGTGCCCTGAGTAATGCAGCCACACATGGGCCCAGCATGGAGGTCGAGTAGAAACAGGGACTTCCAGATTCCTGGCGTCGGGCACAAAAGGCTGGGGTTTCAGAGAAAGGGGGACAAAGGGGACGGGGTAAAAAAAGCACAGCATGCGGACTGGGGAGGGGTCTGATGTCCTTACTCAGGTGTGAGGAAGAAAGGATGTGTATTTTCTACCTACGGCCTTCTTGGCTTTGCTCTATACGTTTCTTTCCAGGTCTCTTCATTTATAACCGTTTACTTGTCTCACTCTGTTAAGTTTGGAGGCACAGTCAGAGAAATCTGGTTTTATGCATTTGGAAGTTTTATGGCGATTTTTATCAGGGTAGCGGGTCTGCATAAGGTGGGGATACGTGTGGAAACCGCTGCCATGGCGCTGCACCCCTTAAAACTCTGCCTGGCTGCAGGCAGTGGTACTGGCAAATTCAAAGCATGTTGATTTGAAGAACTTCAGAAGGAGGTTAAATCAAAACACATTTTGAGAAACTATTGCCGCGTGGTGGTATATGAGTGTTGGGAAGGCAAAATACATCGGCTACTGGTTTCGGGATTGGTGTGGGGTCCTGTGGCCTCCAGGGGCTTTGGCGACAGGCCTGGCTGCTCAGCACCCTTGGTTTCTGACAGGGGGAGTCGGGGGCAAGGGCTGGTAGGTTGTATCTTGTTGGGAATTCTCCTTCCTTCTCGTTGGGAATTCTCCTTCCTTCGGTTCAGGCCTGTCCCCTCTCCTCCCAAGCTCCTTGCAGAGGCAGCCTGCTCATGTGCTCCTTGCTAAGGTGACTCCCCAGCCCCATTTTGGTGTTTTGTACACAGGGCTCTCCAGCTGCTGATGTTATGTTTCAATAACATATCCAGCGTATAGACAGCCCCTCTTAAAACAGTGGCGTGACCTCTCTGATTCATGCTGGGTTTTAAAAAATCTGAATCCAGGAGGTGGAGAAGCTGCTGTGCAAACAGACAGATGAGGCTCCCTCAAATCGTGCGTTTGGCTCGTCACTGAAAACTCTCATCCTGAGCCCCACAGTACAGGGATGCCATATTAAATCCTCCCCCTTTTTTAATAGGAAATTAAATAATCTTTCTTTGTTGTTCCAGGGAATGTTAATTTCCCCTCCGAACTGGTGCTAAGTAACACACTACTATTCAAAATTCCTTCCGACTAGATGTGTAAAATGCCTAGCTATTGTAAAATGAGAGGTACTGAGCTGTCCAGGGACCCATGCCTTGTGTAAGTGGGTGTCCCCAGAACGTGGTGGGCAGTGTACTACCATAGGCATTAGTGGAATCAGTGCATGACAAACAGAAGCAAACACTTGGTGAAAGAACGCTTATTTTACCAAAACACAAGAAAAAGCCGTGAACCTTGAGTTGGTGGGGTGGTGTGCTCCCTGCTGCCTGCATCTGGGTAGCACTTGACAGTCTTCGTAGCTTGTCCCTCACTGATTGCATGTGACATTTAGTCCTAGAAAAAGCACATTGTGTTGGGGGTCTGATCCCCATCTAGCATCCTTACGGTACGTAACTGCTGTGTGTGGACCACGCGGCGATGTTGATGCGTCAACGTTAGTTTAGGCCTTAGGAAGAAGTTCTTTACTATGAAGGTAGTTAAGACCCTGGAACAGATTGCCCAGAGAAGTTGTGGATGCCCCCTCCCTGGAAGTGTCCAAGGCCAGGCTGGATGGGACTCTGAGCAACCTGATCTAGTGGGAGCGTCCCTGCCCATTGAAGGGGGGTGGAACTAGATGATCTTGAAGGTTCCTTCCAACACAAACCATTCTATGATCCTGTGCACTGTTGCAGTGCACTGAGGTGGTGCTGCTCGAAGGAAGTGCACTGGAAGAGGTGAGGGCAAGGGGGCAGCCCCAGCTGGCGCTGCCCAGGGGTCTGTAGGTCTCAGACGGTGCAGAGCAAAAGAGCCACAGAGCCCTGCAACACACTGAGGCTTGTGAGTTAGGAAGGAACCATCTTTTGGAGCACTGTATTCTTTTCAAAGTCCGATTTTTAAAAAAGTTCGTTAGCTGGTCTCCTTGCTGCATATGGGTGGCGGCATTATATGGCTGTCATATAGAAGAGATCTGCAGGGGGAAGAAAGAAAATAAAACAGGTATTGTATCAAAACTGGAAATACTATTGCGTTTTCTTACTGTTTTAAAATCAGTATCATCTTGAATGTCCATGCACACCATTGTCCTTTTGGCCCTTGGGTTCCTCAGGGTCTGATTTCCCCCAGACTTTGCAAGACAACAAACAACCCTTCTGGGAGATTTTGCAGGGAGATAAATACAATCTACATTTTAGCTGAGTTTCAGCAACTTGCCACTATTGCAGTAATTTGTAAAACTTTTTTTTTCTTGTTTGATTATTGTTTAGCATACCTCATGCTTCAGATATGATCTGAACAACTTACCCTTCAATGTAATACATTATTAAATTGATATTTTTCATGAGGGTGAGGTATTGAGTGTAGCTTAATAAAAAGAACATAATTTTTAGTATACATATGGAACACCTCCTGTTTAATTGGTGTAGAATATCTGATGTTACCTAAGTTACCTGCAACAATCTGCAATTTCTTGTTGATGTAATTACATAAATCATGCCTTCTAAATGTTTATAGGTCAATCCTACACATAAAATACATCACTGTATTAAGACTACGTAGTGTAACTAGAGGGAGAGAAAACATTGAGTTTTGTTTAGTAAGCATAATTCTTAATAAAAATCAGAAAAATATTTATTAAAATTAGTGCCCAAGAACTGACCTTCTGCCTTCATGACATTGCATGTATATTCTGTAAGATAATGAGCTAGAATGGATTTATATTTATCAGCCCTACAGTAATACAGGACAAAATAAAGACTTTTAACAAGATAACCATGGGCAAAGTGATGCTAGTGCTCAAGTTAGCAGCCTAAAAAGTTATGAGGTAGCCTTGCAAGAATTCAGTTCTGTCTGGTCTGATGTTTACTGGATTTGTGCATATTTTATTATTCTCTGGGAACCCGGTCATTCTGGCGAGAGTTCCGCCACATCCTGGTCTCTGTAATGACCCCAGCTCCTCAGCCGGCCTGGCAGGGGCTCCGGGTAAAGGGAACTTCAGGGGCCTTCAGCTGCCAGAAGTGGAAGCAGTTGGATGCTGTTCTCTGCCGCTACAAGCTTCACAGCTGGGAGCTTTTCAGGGGGCCAGTTAGCTCAGTGGTTTGAGCACGGTGCTGGCAACAATGACCAACACCGAGGTCACGGGTTCGATTCCCGCTCGCTTCCCATGTCGCCTGGTCTTGGTCCCCATGTGTTGCCTGGTCTAGTCAAGAGGTGGCGTCCCTGCCCATAGCAGGGAGGTTGGACTAGATGATCTCTAAGGTCCCTTCCAGCTTAGGCCATTCTATGATTCAGATTTGTGTTGCTGATTTGAAACAAAAGTTTAGAAGTTTGCCACATGATGGCACCCAAAAAGAAGAGGAAACGATTCCTGGGGTGAGCTGCACGGTGATGTGCAAACATCACAGGCTTGTGCAAATGGTGGGAGCGTCAGTGGTGCTTACAAAGCACTAACTGTAACTTTTTGAATCTTCATTTCACATCTGTGATTCATTTGGGACCAGACCACAGCCCTCCATTTATGTATTTATTTTAGTGATCTGTGTACAGAATTTCCTGGGGTTCTTGGTACTCCCTAAGTCTACAGGCTGCTGAGATGTGAAACCTGTGGTGGCACCTGACCCTTTCTCCCTCATCCTCCCTTTTTCCACAGAGGATAAGCACGGCGAGTGGAGACGGCCGGCACTATTGTTACCCACACTTCACGTGTGCAGTGGACACAGAAAATATCCGCAGAGTGTTCAACGACTGTCGAGACATCATTCAGAGGATGCACCTCCGCCAGTACGAACTCTTGTGAGGGGGATCACCGTGGAACCTGTGGTTTTAAATTCTTTGCTCCTTACTCTTTCTCTTGATACTACCCCACACAGGGTGGAGGAATATACTATAGAAATGTCAGTCTCTTCACTTTGTTTACTTTAATTATTTAGCCGTAAAGCTGATTTGAAGCAAGTCTGGGTTGGTTTTCCTTCATGCTTTTTGGGACAATTTTTGTGCTTTATTTTGACATGCCACTTCTTCGTCATTCCACTAAGCCCTTTGGCTACCTCTGTTCCCTTAGGTTTTGTTATTCTGACTGCACGTGACCTGCTAAATTTTTTCCAGCAGGTCAGCGTCAGCTGAAACTGGTATGTCAGCTGGATGACACTAAAGTCCTAGCTATCCCTCTGTGTGGGTTTCCTTTTTAACATGACATTGAAGAGTACTTGATGGGTGAAAAAAAAAAAAAGATTAATGCACTTTGTATCAGGTTATTAAATACTGTTGAGGAAGTAGACACACAATGTAGCAGCACCACAATATTTATTACTCTGTCACAGTTTTTAGCATTTCTGAGTTGCAGGTCAACTGATAAAGTGACCTCCTCTTTTAAGCCGTTACTGGCACAGGAAGTAGAGTAGAAAATGAGAGGAACAGTGAAGAAAAAGCAATTTTTCTGGGGTTTTGGAGCTAAGTGTCTCTGCACACCTCAGGCGTTTGAATTACAGCTACTTTTCAGCCTGTTGCATCTAGGCAGAAAATTTACCACCCTCACTTACGTTATTTGTGCTGTCCACAAATGATCCTTTTAGTTCAGATCATTCTTGGACAACGGTCCTCTCCCTATATATATTTTTTTTTTGTTTTACTGCTGGTTTATTATATTGTACAGACTGTAAAATGTAATATTATTTTGTACAACTTTATTGAAGAAAAATACTTGTAGAAGATCTTTGTGCCTTGATTATGGCTGTACCTGTAAAATGAGCTAAGATGTAAGTATGTTTTTGATTGCGCTGTACAGCTTGATGTCAACCTTACCTGCAGCAGTGACTGGAGGTAAGAACTTTATCTGTAGAGTTTAGGGTTTTTTTTCTGGTTTATATAAAAATGCTCTTTAGTATAAAAATTATAAATTATGCAAATTAACCACTTACCTTTCCAAGTAAGGTATTACAGTCACCGGATGTTGCAGCAAACATGCCTTTCTCTTTTGAAGTCTCAGCTTTAAAACATTGGAATTCATTCAAGTGTCCAAATTGCAACCTGGTGTTGTTTTAATGGGAACCAAGGTTTTTTTTTTTTTTCCTTTATATTTAGAAAATATGTTTGGTAATTCTTTGGTCATTCATAGAACTTCACAATTGCACAGACCGATTGTGAATGTGTAAAAGCACCATTATATAGAGCTCTTCAATCTTTGTACCAACAGCGGCTTTCATTGTGCAAGTAAATAGTGAGAAAGAAGAAAAAAAAGGTGTATAAACCCTTGTGTCTGGCCTAAGAGAATTACAAGATGACATTTTTATTTCTCTTTTAATAAAGAGACACATTAGAAAATTGTTTTATTTTAAATATTGTAGAATCAAAATGTGTGAATATTTCTCAAACTTGAATAATTTATGCAAATGACATTCTCAAAACAAGTTGTGGTACAGTACAATATATAAAAAGCAAGAATTGCTGTAGCAATAAGGCATGTCCTTTTTAGTAACTATAACACTGCTTTATATTTTATACATAGGTGTTTTATGTCTGTGACTATATACTTTTCCTGTGTCCAAGATAACCTGTACAAATGTCTAAAATTACAGTTGCAATAACAGAAACCTAGAGAAGTGTTAGACTACATTACTTTATAGAGTGTTTTACCACACTTTGAACCGTTCCTCCCACTTCATTTTAAATTTAGGGAGAGATTAAGAGCTAACACATTCCCCACACCGGCATATAAAGCAGCGGCTTTGATTAACTTTTTACTAGAAGTATTAGTTTTAAACCCCAATCAGTCATCTTTTTAAAATCAGACTACAGATGAACTGAGAATTTGTTTCTATTTGATGATAAATAATCCCATTTTAGATACTACAATATGACCATTTCCTCTTCCCAGAAATGTGTATACTTTGGTATCTGTACGTTCAATTTAGTCAGCAGGTATTTCCCAGAAAATGAAAGGCTGGGTGGAATAAGCTAGTAATAACAACAAACAAAATTCCCCAACGCAAAGATTCTCTCGCTTCCCGTGCCGAAGAAAGTAGCAGAGCGAATAACAAAAGACAGTCTTTGCTTTTAAATACAACCCCAAGCCCTGGAGTTCAGGTTAGAGCTCCCGGCCTCTGCAGGAATGTCAGCCGCAAAGCTGGTCCTGGGGTGAAACAGGTCCGCTGAGGGGGTGGGGAGAAGCGGTAGGTTTGTCGCATCTTCCCGTGTGGGCAGCGCGCTGAGGCGCTTAGTTCAGCGGTTCCGCTCTCCGTGCTGCCGTCGCCACTGGAGCTAGTGCAGTTCAAAACGTGGCTCTGCAGCAAGTTCAGAGATCTTGGTGGCCCCACAGGCTTCTAAAATAATGCGAGTTCCTCTCCGTGTCTGGCCCTAGAGTGCGGGCCAAGGCACAGGGTAACGTTACTGCAGCTGTATTTGACCTTCCTTCTTGCAGAAGATCGGCAACTGGAGGGCCCCTCACCACACAGAGCTCTGGGATGCAATAGGGCCCTCTTTTTTTTTTTTTTTTTTTTTTTTTTAAAGCTCATCATAGCACATCTTTTTTTAAAAAAAAAACAGCAGCTTGAGGTGTCGCCCTAAGATTTTTTTTAAGCAGGTTTCAAGTATATGTCAGCAAACTGGATCCACAAGCTTCTTCTTGTTGTTGTCTGGTAGAAGATGGTAACTGCAAATTGTAGTCAGCTAACGAGCTAACGTGTCAGGAACCAGAAGATTTCTTGTCCCAAACGACAGTCCCTTACAGACGACATCCTAAAGAGGTTCCAGAAATCCACATCTCTCAGTGCTGATGATCTAGTTTTCTGCCTGACCCTAACAAACACGAGTATGACGTTCGAAGGGCCATGCAGCAATAAAACAGAGAAACGTTTCCAGTTTGCAGGACCGAGCCTCCACCAGGGTAAGACACTAGTGCAGACAAGTGATGAGGCTATAGGATTTACATACTGTACAGTTACACTTTTAATATACATATTTGATACAAAAAAAAAAAATCTAGCAGGAAAAGGACTCGTTTGATTGTAGAATACAGTATTTTTGTACAGCATGAGACGTTCATTTCAGTTAATTATTTATCCTGTAGTAGTCATATCAGCTGTATAAGACTTCTATGGTATGTGTAAATGCAACCTGCCTTCAGACTAGCAATCAAATTAGGTCATTTGCTGGCATGAATATAGTCCGATGTTTGACTGTTCTCAGCTTTGGTATTTCAGTGACTGAATGCAGATGTCTGGCTCTTCATACCGCTTTATGCTTACTGATTAAACGCTGAGCAAAATAAAATGGGGGAGTGAGAAGCTGAAAATGAGCTAGTACCAGGATGACAAGCAGCGCACCTGCTGCACAGTACATAGTAAAGACTCTGCTCTCATACGGAAGGAAGCATTTTTGGAGGGAGAAGTCAGTCGGTGTTATGCTGCCCTGGAAAAGAAAGGAAGACTGTCACTTTGCTGTTAGAGTGGGTTCTGAATCAGGACTAAACACCACGGCTGTCAGATCTCCAATTTCTAAATTCTGCGTTGGGCAGCAAGGGTTGGGGCCAGTTTCCTCGTACCAGTGCCTTGTCCAGGGAGCTGACGAGCCTGCACCTTGTGGTGCTGGGCACTAACTGGAATATCTGCCTGGCCAACGTTAGCCCGGAGGCCAGTCTTCCCCAGTTTACATCTAGAGTGCATAGAGAGCTGGGCTCCACCTCCGCTCTGCCTTCAAGAGAAGCCCAACATTAGCTGCTGTAAATCCACATGGAAGGAGCCTTCCCAGGCCAAAGGTAGTGCCTGTGAGTGTGCCCCCTCCTCCTCCCAAGCCCTCCTCCTACCCAGCACATGCTGCAAAAAACACGTTGGCTAATCCAAACTCCAAATGTGAACTTCAGGAACAGCGACCTTCATTGGGTTTTCGGCTTGGCTTTGTGGTTCAAATTAAAGTTTACAACAGAGGGAGGCCAAGTAGCGAAGGCAATGCAACTTCAATTAGCCAACTTCTTGTTCTGCAGCGTGCACTGCCTGGTGTGTGCCGAGAGCGTGTGTAGTTTGAAGGCAGCTACTCAGGAATATGGAATTAACAGAACTACTTTCAACAAGAAATATTAACAGTTGCATAAAATTAATTTAAAAGTTTGGGGTTATCTGTGTATTAAGCAGCCTAAACTCAACAGCAGTAAAAAAAGAGATGAACTAGTCCCCTCGCCTCTCCAAGTAACAGACTACTCTGTTAAACAGATTGTAGGTTTTGCTTCTTACTCCCAGGTTTCTAGGATTTATTCTCTTTTATTTTTTGGACTGGGGAACTAATTGATTTACCTCTTGAGGATATACCAAGCACTGGAACTGCCTGCGAAAGCATAACCAACACACTGCATATACAATGTGGATTGGAAATGAGGAGGCACACTGTTGGCACGTGACAGCCGTTTTCCCTGGGTGAAGCGGTTGATGCACAAGTTGGGAAACTGTGATCATCACCCGAGAGAGAGTTGGAGGTGGAGATGGTCTCGTTTTCATAGTTGGTAAATCAACCAAGCCAAACTAGTCTTTCTACTGTTCAGTGCACAATACTGATTATTTTTACAAGTCGATAGTTTACAATGCACCCTCTTTATAAGAAAATGTTAGATGCTTGTACCCAGATACTAATTAGATCTTTAACAGCATTGCTTTGTACCACACAGAACATGTGGCTCCCACAAATGTACTTTATAAAGTGGATGCAGTGTACTGAGTGGGTTGGGTGGGTAGGCATTTTTTTTAATTTTTTTTTTGTTTTTACAGGTAGAATCAGTTTTAAAATATAGCTGACTGCCATGTTGATTTATTTATGAAAGTTATCTGACAAAAATAAAAAAAATTAAAACTTACCATGATGAAACTAGGATTGTTTCTATTCCTCCAACTGAATGACGGGACGCTGATTTCTGGAATTTTCCCCACGTGCAGCACTTCACAAGCACTGTGTGTGTGCCCACTGAGAATCAAACGGGGCTGAAACCACCATATCAGCTAGAACACAAAATGATAAAGCACAAAAAATTAAGTCATAACTAAAAAGAAGCTGAGCTTAAAACCCCTTTTTTTTCTTCTAACATAATGAAATTACAGTCCTAATATTCTTACAAAATATTTTACACATCTGTTTTCCAGTAAGACGGGTGTTGATACTGTAAAATTAATCTTGCCCATTTGGCTGTCATCCCACATACTGGACTTTTTTAGCGGGAGGGGTCATACAGAACAAAAAACGAAGGCAACAGCCTTCTGCGGACACCACAAATAGAAAAACCTTGGGTTTAGTAAAGCAGTGCTGTTTTCTTGCCTAGGGGAGGATCTTGCATTGCCAATCTTGAGTGAAGACATTTATGCAGAAGGAAATAAATACTGTCCATTATATTTTTGGGGGAGGGGAATCCTCTGACTTCACATTTTCATGTTACCAATTCAGCAAAACAGCGCTTTCAAAGCGTTGGGAGGTGGTGGCTTTCTTCCAGCTTTGTCGGTAACCTGTGCAGTACGGAATGCTAGACTGGAGGTTAAGAGTGCTGCTGCACACTTAAGAGCACCAGGACTCGGGGCCTGTGCCTGGGAAACGCAGCAGGATCGAGACCATGACCACGATGGTGCCCAGGGGAGCAGCACTAACCAGTGGCTCTCAAAGGCCTCATTAAAGCAGGCTCAGCTCTGGGCTGTTTGTCCCAGCTGACATCTTTTCCACGTTTTTTTAATCTGGATACAGCTTACGATAGTGTTCCCCTCCCATCCACCCACCAGTATACTCAGGTGCCCAATAAATCAAACCTTTTGTGATGCTTCTTGGGACAGTACGTCGTACTTTTCTTTAAATGGGCTGTTCTTCTCCTCTGGAGGAGCAGAATCTTCGCCGCTGCATTCAGCATCATTTTTCCGATAGAGAGGGTAATGCTGGGAGAAGTTCAAAGTAAGGATCAGTTGTTACCAATCCCGGCCTTCAAGGACCAGTGATAGATACACTAAAAACATGTCAACACGCTGCCTCACCTGCCCATAACGTACCTGCAGAAGGATGGGTTCCGAACCTGGAAGCTTTTCCACATCGCTGCATCTCTTGTTGGAATGATTTGGTTTCTGTGAATAAAAACCAATCCACACATACTGTTTTCTCCAGTGTGCGCCGTAGGAGTGGGGAAGGGAGTTAAGCAGCAGCTAGGGTTTGAGGGGTTTTTTTGTTGTTGTTGTGGGGGGGGTTTCTTGCAAAAAGCTATGTTGGCTCAGAGTACAGAGCTCAAATACCATCCACTGTATGAACTTTTAAGAGCCTTTACTGTGGCTGAAAGGAGAAATGTTTTAACTCCCCCTTAAATATGGCCACACTCTTCCTGAACACTGAAAGCAACAGCAAAATCTCACTGCACAAACAAGGCAAAAGATTTTAGGGGAGCCCGACAGAGACAGGAGCGAGTCTGGCAGTTTTTCCCCTGGGAGCTGGTTCCCTGAGGGACAGCCAACCCAGTCAGGCTGCCTACTGGGCGTCCCATTGGCCTATGGAAAAGGGAAGAGGAATGAAACACAAGCAGCAACTGGATTTGATGGAAAAAAATACTACAGTTAAAACATTACTAGGCTGTCAAAGCAGGATTCCAG